TCACCAGTTGGAATCATACCTGCACATCAGAAGATAACTGTGGTTATTGGAGATCAGTCATCTCAGCTCCAGGACATCTCTGCAGGAGTTCCTCAGGGTAGTGTCCAAGGCCCAAACATCTTCAGCTGCTTCATCAATGACCTTGCCTCCATCATAAGGTCAGAAGTGGGGGTGTTTGCCGATGATTGCACAATGTTCAGCACCATTCACAATTCCTCAGATACTGAAGCAGTCCATGTTCAAATGCAACAAGATGTGGACAATATCCAGGTTTGGGCTGACAAGTGGCAGGTAACATTTGTGCCACACAAATATCAAGCACTGACCATCTCCAATAAGAGACAATCTAGCCATTGCATCTTGACATTCAACGGTGTTACCATCACTGAATCCCATACAATCAACATCCTGGAACTTACCATTGACCAGAAACTTAACTGGATTCACTACATAAACAAAGTGACTGCAAGAGCAGGTCAGAGGCTAGGAATACTGTGATGAGTAGCTCACCTCCTGACTCCCCTTAGCCTGTACATCTACAAGGCACAAGTCAGGAATGTGATAGAATACTTCCCATTTGCCTGGATGGGTGCATCTCCAAAAACACTCAAGAAACTTGATGCCATCTAGGACGAAGCAGCATGCTTGATTGGCATCACACCCACAAACACCCATTCCCTCCATCACTGACGCTCAGTAGCAGCAGTGTGTACTATCTACAGAAGCAATGCATAAATTCACCAAAGATGCTTAGACAGCACCTTCCAAATCCATGACCACTTCCATCCAAGGACAAGGGCAGTAGTTACATGGAAACACCACCACTTGCATTTTCCCCTCCAAGCCGTTCACCACCTGTCTTGGAAATATATTGTCATTCCTTCAGTGTCACTGGGTCAAAATCCTAGAATTCCGTTAATAAGAGCATTGTGGGTCAACCCAAACCACACAGACTGCAGCGGTGCAAGACGGCAACTTGCCACCACCTTCTCAATGGCAACTAGGGATGGGCAATAAATGCTGGCCAGCCAGCAACACCCACGTCCCATGAATGATTAACAGAAAATCAAGTTTATAGCATCCAACTACAGGGACATAGAGTACAAATGCAAGGAAGCTATGTTAATCGTGTATAAAATACTGGTTTGCCCTCAACTAAAGTATTGTCTCTAGTTATGGCACCACATTAGGAAGAATGCAAAGGCATTAGAGAGGGTACAGAAAACAGTCACAAGAATACTTCCATGCATGAGGAACAGCAGTTACATACAAAAATTGGAGAATTTGTGACTGTTGTCTTTGACAAAGAGAAGAGATGGTTCTGTCAAAATTGGATAGACATCTTCAAAGTCATGAGTGGTCTAGACAGAGTACTTAGCGATAAATTATCCCCATTAGTGGAAGGATAGAAAATTAGGGGCCAAAGATTTAAGATAATTTGCAAATGAAGCAAAACAACTTGATTGGAAAACTGTTCAATGTTGTGAGAGGTTAGGATCTGAAATACATTACCAGTGAACATGGTGGAAGCAGGCTCAATTGAGGGCATTCAAAAGGGACTTAGATAATTATCTGAAAAGGAAAAAGTTGCAGAGCTGCACAGAGAGATGAAAGTAGTGGAAATGGGTGAATTGCTCATTCAGACAGCCAGAATAGGCACAACAGGCTAAATGTCCTCCTGTGCTCTGCCCATTCTATATTTCTGATTGAATCTAGTGGATCAACTGTAGCAAATTACTGAGATTTACAGGCGGCGCATGTGTTTAATTATTTTGATGGATGGGCTATTTCACAGCAAATCATTCTGGAATTCCCTGTCTAGTGCTACTATTTAGATCAATATTCTAAAATGCTCTTGCTGTTTTATACATATTCTTGTTATCCACGCAGAATTTTTGAGACCATCCAAACCCATTTCCTATAAAATCCATGCAAGCCAGCACAGAGACACAAGGTTCTACTTTTAATGAAATTGTCAAGCATCACATCTTCCTTTAACGTTATGCCTATTCTTCATTGCACAACCCAGTTCATTAAATCAGCTGGATTGAAAGTACTATTAAATCGATAACGCATTTTATCAAAAAAAAACCCTAAAGAACTGCAGATGCTGGAAATCAGAAACAGAAACAGAAATTGCTTGAAAAGCTTAGCAAGTCTGGCAGCCTCCGTGGAGAGAAATCAGAGCTAACGTTTCAGGTCCCATGACCCTCAGAGCTAAATGCATTTTATTATCCTTTCTTGGTCAGTCTGGTTTCCTTTCAATTTAAAATACATCACTGTCATTCACCAGCAAGAGTATCATGGATATTTGAGGAAACAGATAAATTGGCCTCGAAAATGCACAATATTTCTGTGCACTCTACCATAATTTTGAGAAAGTCAACTGGAAGGGACAAAAGCTAAGCCAAGACCTGACTATCTGGCTCATGTAGTGTGCCTGATAGTTAATTAACCTATCCTGGGTTGAGCCTCTGCTCCTTCCAAATATAGGCATTGGTGCGAGGGGAACGAGGACAGGCAAGGAGTTCCCTAAATGAGCAAGTAGACCCCATGGCTAGACCAGTTCCCAGATATTTCCAGCTTACTGTCAAAAGGGGTACTGCAGATGCAAATTTGGAGGGAACAGCCCTGGAAATTAGTATTTCGATGAAGTGCTCTTTCCTAAATCCTGATTTTGATTTTTAGATCATGATTTTTAAGACAAAAATCAATTTTAAAAATAAGCAATTCTGGTTCAAGATCCACTTGTAGTCGCTGTTGTGTTATGATGTTGATGTTGCTTTATCAAAATAATTACTTAGCAAGCAAAAACATATTGAACCAGGTTTGGCGGTTGGTGATAAAGGGATGTGCTTGCCTGAGACTTAGAGAAGAGCTAGTCACAAAAGTTTAGTGGGCTCTTTAGTACAGATTTCCTCTACTCTGACGTGAATTTGAATCTGGTGCTATATTTGGAACTGAACTTTATAGGGCCCCAGGTGGCAGGCAGTGGGTTAAAATTGAGTGACATTATCCCTGCCAGGGACATCATTTCTCATACAAAAACAGAAATTGCTGGAAGATCTCAGCAGGTCTGACAGTATGTGTAGGGAGAAATCAGGGTTAACATTTCAGGTCCAGTGACCCTTCTTCATACAGAAGACGGGATGGGGGGGAGAGGAAGAGTAAACCATAGGTAGAGAAAGATCCCAAAGAGAGGGAAAAATAGTTGGACAGACAAAGGAGTGTTTAAAGGTCAGTTTGGGGGAATGCATAGCTGCTAATGAGGACAACTAGTGACAGACAATGGGTTGTGTATGATAGCAGCCCATGTGATGCCAAGGCCTGGTGTGTGGGGGCTGGGGGAAAACATGGGAAAAGGTAGTCCAGCCCTAAAATTGTTGTACTTGGTATTAAACCCAGGACCTAGAAAAAGGCTCCAGAAAAGAAACAAAAAAAAGGCACTAAGGAACACATTATGCAACAACTCAGAAATACCCAAGACCCTTTGGAACCTTCCTACCCTACCTTTTCCCTCTAACCCCATTCCCTCTCCCACCCCCACCTCCTGTCATACATTTACAATACCTTCTGACCTTCCGCTCTGAAAAGAACAGAAGATTTAGAGCTTAAGAACTTTTCCCTATGCCTTCCCTCACCCCCACACACCAAGCCTTGGCATCACATGGACTACTACCACACACTATCCATTTTCAGCAACTAACTGTCCCCATTAGCAGCTATTCATTTCCCAAACTGACCTTTAACCACTCCTTTGTCCACTGTCCTCTTTTCTCTTCGGGCTCTATCTATTGTTTACATTCCCGGCCCTCCCCATCTTCTGTATAATAATCATCCTTTTCCTAGCTACCATCAGTTCTATAGAAAAGTCAGCTGGACCCAAAACATTAATTCTAACTTCTCTGCACAGTTACTGCCAAACATGCTTAATTTTTCCAGCAATGTCTGTTTCTGTTTCAGATTTCCAGCATTCGCAGTTCTTTCAAGGTTTTACACCATTTCTGATGCCTGCTCACCTGCCCCTGCTGCAATATTATCTACAGTGGGGGTGGCATCAAAAGCCCACCCACCCACAAGCTAATTGTGGCCCATATTTAATGGCCATTTCAGGGTATCCTCTTTCCACAGCTCTCTAGCCTGCTAAGTTTCACTGGATGAGCTAGTAACAGTTGGGTCTGCTTCCTTTTCGGACTCCCAGAATTCATCAGAGGTGCCTTCTAAGGAATTTCCCCGTACATTTCTCTTCCCCACTGCCCCATTCATTTTGATGCCCCCAAAACCGCTCCCACTCACACCACAGACCACAACCTGTCAACCTAGCTTTGATGTAAAATTGAGCCAGTGGAGTCTGGCAACATTGCAGGCAGCAGGCAGGCTGGTCAGATGTTCAGAGTGAAAAATTCTTCCAGATCACAAAGCAGGGAGTATGTGTCAAAGATTACAATTCACATTTGAGGATATTTTACAGAAGGCGGAATCAAACATGATTAAGGAAGGAGCTGAAATATCATAAACAGACTTAAAAATATCATTTTTAAAATGATGGAATTTTTAAATGTTCTTCTGAGTGAATGACCTTTCACAATAAGAAAATTAGTTTTTCACAGTCGGCATAATTGCTCAGTAATTGTAACAGTGTGTGGTTAAAACTTACAGCTTACTCAACAAGGGCTCATCATTTCCAGTAGTTTTTGCAGTGAATGTAATGTGTTAATATTGAACTTTTTATCAATTACTGATTCGATGTTGATATACATCAACAAAGATTGCAACTGTGCACACCACATCCCTATGTACGGGCACCACAAGTTATTGTCAATTTTATTCCATCAGTTGAGAATGCTGACAGTTTCCCCTCCATTACAATTACAAATTATAGGGTATTAATGTAATGAGATGGAGTGCTTCTTGGAAACTGTTCATAATTGTAGCTGACTAAAAAATTCTCATACTGTGGCTGCACAATCGTATATTAGCTGTTCAGCTGAAATCCTTACCAATAGAGCTGCAACAATTGGAGCATGTACTATGTAAAGCAGATGTGTTTCAACACTTATCCAGCAACTGCAAGAAATGGAAAGGAAAAATGAAATACATAAAAGTAGTTATACATGTAAATTCATACCTTAAAATCTAGCGAAATTAAAAATAACGTTTCCAAAATTCTGATCTTCGTGAATCTGTGTGACAGTACCAATAGTGCACATAACGTGATACGCACTTACACAATATTTTTGCTTCATTGTCAGTTCATCAGCAAATGTTATTTTTGAATAGTTTAATTCCAGCTTTGATATATTAATTCTCATACCAATTCCACGCAACATACAGTGGTAGTGTGATAGTGTCAGTGGCAGTGTTGTTAGCACTGTTCTCTACGCCTCAGAAAGTCATGAGATTAAATCCTGCTTTCTAGTCCATGTCAGGTTGTGACATCCAGTTATGAAGTGGGTAAAACAGATAGAACCAAGTGCCCATCGTTAACCATCCTACCCTGTTCACAACCTTGGAGTCATTTTTAACCCAGAGATGAGATTCCAACAATGTATGTGCACTATCACTAAGCAAGCCCATTTCTACCCCAGTAACATCATCTGACATTCCCATGCCTCAGCTCGTCTTACAGCTGGAGTCCAGCTCAATCACACCTTTATGTTTTACAAGTAAATTTGACTATCACACTCATGGCCAACCTCCCATGTTCCACCCTCTTGAACTCAAAACCCTGCTGTCCATGTCTTACCATGCACCAAGCTCTGATCACCGATCATCCCTAGACATGCTAACTTACATTGGGTCCTGGTGAAGCAATAACTTCTGGCCAAATTTTGCATCCTTGTTTTATATTCCCTTCAAGGTCTTGCCCTTCTGAAACCTCCTCCAGACTCAAAACCATCCAAAGTATTCAACTAAAACTGACTCTTCTGCATCCCCAAATTTAACTGAACTAATATTGGTGGTTGTATTTTCAGATATCTACGGGGTGGGGGGATGTTCTGGACATTCATTTTTACACCTCTTTATCTCTCTTTCTTCCTTTAAGACATTCCATAAAACCTAATTCTTTGAACAAACTTTTGGCAACCTGTCCTCATTTCACGTTATGTGGCTTAGTGCCAAATTTTACTTGATAAATCTCCTCTTAAGGGCTTTGGGACATTTTATTATGCCAATGGCACTTCATAGATATGTGTTTATGTTGCAGTAAGTACTGCGATGAAACTAGTAATGATTGCTTAGTGAGGTTAATGGTAAATTGATCCAAGTAGCCCTTGAGCTCCTGGAAAACATATGGAAAATAATTTTATTTTCTTTAGCTTGATGTGAGTCTGTGACTTTCCTTTTCCTTTCAATATGAATTCCATGACCACCATCCTCATTATTTAAATCACTGTTAATATCCTGGGAGTTACTATTGACCAGAAACTAACTGGACATGCTATATATACACTGTGGCTGCAAGAGTAAGTCAGAGGCTAGGAATCCTGCAGCAAGTAACTCACCGACTGACTCCCCAAAGCCAGTCCACCATTTACAAGGCACAAGTCAGAGATAGAATAGAGTACTCTCTCAGTTTCCTGGAGAAGTGCGACCCCTAAAATACGAAAGAAGCTTGACACCATTCAGAACGAAGGAGCCCACTTGATTTGCACCATGTCCACAAACATTCACTCCCTATACTCAGAAACAATATCATCTACTAGATATCCTGCAGAAATTTTCCAAGGCTTCGTTGACAGTACTAAACCCAGGATCATGACCCTCGAGAAGGAAAAGGATAGCAGATACATGGGAACACCCCATCTGAAAGGGCTCTTCCAAACAACTCACCATCCAGTCTTGGAAATATATCAATGCTCTTTCAGTGTTGCTGGGTCAAAAAAAACACTATCCTGTCACTAGATTTTGAGATAGGGTCAAATATATATTTGCACACAAGTGCAATGTACAGCAGTACTAACCCATTATACTTTAACTAAAGCAATGACACTCTGAAATTTCAACATGAGTGTGCTTGTAAGTAGAGGGATATGGTAATTCAGCACTGTATCTTATCTGTGAAGGATCTACATATAATAAAAATACCAGAATATAACAAACTATCTTAAATTGTAGCGAGACAACAAGGTGCAGGGCTGGATGAACAGAACAGGCCAAGCAGCATCATAGGAGCAGAGAGGCTGACGTTTCGGGCCTAGACCCTTCATCAGAAAAGGGGGAGGGGAAGGGGGTTCCAAAATAAATAGGGAGAGAGTGGGAGGCGGATAGAAGAGGGATAGAGGAGAGGATAGGTGGAGAGGAAACAAACAGGTCGAAGAGGCGGGGATGGAGCCAGTAAAGGTGAGTTTGGTAGGGAGTTAGGAAGGGGATAGGTCAGTCCAGGGAGGACGGACAGGTCAAGGGGGCGGGATGAGGTTGGTCGTTAGGAGATGGAGGTGCGGCTTGAGGTGGGAGGAGGGGATAGATGGGAGGAAGAACAGGTTAGGGAGGCAGGGACGAGCTGGACTGGTTTTGGGATGCGGTAGGGGGAGGGGAGATTTTGAAGCTTGTGAAATCCACATTGATACCATTGGGCTGCAGGGTTCCCAAGCGGAATATGAGTTGCTGTTCCTGCAACCTTCGGGTGGCATCGTTGTGGCACTGCAGGAGGGCCAGGATGGACATGTCGTCTGAGGAATGGGAGTGGGAGTTGAAATGGTTCACGACTGGGAGGTGCAGTCAGGAAGTGCTACACCTGCCCCCATACCTCCTCCCTCACCCCCATCCCAGGCCCCAAGAAGACTTTCCACATCAAGCAGATGTTCACCTGCACATCTGCCAATGTGGTATACTGCATCCGCTGTACCCGATGT